AAACAAACAAACAAACAAACAAAAAACACATAAACAAATGAAACAAAATAGAGAACACAGAAACAAATCCAGGCAACTACAGCTGTCTCATCTTGGACAAAGAAGTTGAAAATAATATACTAGAGAACAGCTTATTGAATAATGGAACTAAAAAAATTGGACATACACTTGTAGAAGATTGAAACTAGATACCTATCTTTCACCACGTACAAAAAATCAATCCAAAATGGATCAAAGACCTAGATTTAAGGCCTGAATCTTTGGAACTGCCAGAAGAAGACACAGGGGATACACTTGAAGCCAAAGACATAGGCAAAGACTTCCTGAATAGGATTCCAATAGCACAGGAAATAACAGCAAGACTCAACGAGTGAGATTACATCAATTTAAAGTTTCTGCACAGCAAGAGAAACAGCTAGCAGGGTGAAGAGACAGCATACAGAATGGGAGAAAGTCTTTGCTATCTACTTTTCTAACAGAGGAGTAATATCTAGAATATACAAAGAGCTCAAAAAGCTCAATACCAAAAAATCAAAGTGCCCATTCAGCAAATTGGTAAATGAATTGAACAGACACTCCTCAAAAGAAGTAGAAATGGTCAATAACTACATGAAAAAATATTCAACATCTTTAGCCCCTGGAGAAATGCAAATGAAACCTTGCTGAGATTCCATCTCACCCAAGTAAAAACAGCTATCGTCAACCATATAAAAAACAACAAATACTGGCAAGGAAGTAGGGAAAAAGAAACCCTTCTACACTGCTGGTAGGAATGTAAATTAGTACAGTCACTATGAAACTAGTGCAGGTGGTGCACACCTATAATCCTAGCACTGTGGGAGGCTGAGACAGAGGGATTTTAAATTCAAGTTCCACTTGGCAATTTAGTGAGATTGTCTCAAAAAAAGAGGGACATGAGCCGGGTGTGATGGTGCATGGCCCATAAACCCACACTCCTGCTGAAGCTGGAGGATCATTGCAAGTTTGAGGCCAGCCTGGACTACAAAGTGAGCTCAAGGCCAACATGAACTGCATAGCGAGACCCTGTCTCAAAAAGACAAAAAAATAAAAATAAAAATAAAAAATAAATAAAACGGGTGTGGATGTAGCTTGGTGTAAAGGACCTGGGTTCAATCGCTAGTGCTTCAAAAAACAAACAAACAAAAAACAAACTCAGAGAGACAAATATCACATGTTCTCCCTAACATGTGAAATCTAAAAAATTGACAGGAAATTAGATGGGAGATTATTAGACAAGAGAAAGGGAACAAGGGATAGAAGGTAGCAGATGTAAAGGAAGTTATGGATATAATTGAAATATACAGTTACAGTACACATTAAACCCAATATTTTATAAAATAGGCATTAATAATAAAAGGAAAGTAACAAGAAGTACTTCAAAATATTTCATAAATGGTGAAATAGTGTAATTTCTACCCATGTTTAGTGTAACAGCTACCCACGTTTGCTTATTATACATTCTTGCTCACACTTTCTCTGCATATTCAGCTTTTACACACACACATACACACACACACACTCACTCAACACCACTTTCTATGGCTGAAGTCTTTAAAAATGAGTTGCAGATATCACTGATATTTCACATCTAAATTCACATTTAGATGGTTGAGCCACCCTGGTCTGAAAATCCAAAATACACAATATGTTATGCACTGACCTTGTGGCACAAGTGGAAAATTCCACCCACAACATATAAAAAAATATTTTATAAAGGTATCTTCAGACGATGTGTATAACGTGTGTATATAACACAGGAATTTTCGCGTTTCAATTTCGGTCCTATCTTGGTATGCCCCAGTAAGTACATGCAAATATTCCAAACTCCAAAAAGTCTGAAACCACAAATACTGCTGGCCTCAGGAATTTTGGATAAGGGATACTCTACCTGGATCTACCACCTTATAATACCATTGACACCCTCCTCTGAATCTAACTTTGATATAGTAACGTCATCTAAGATGTAGTGCATCATCACCTCTGTTTGTGCAAAATGAACTCTGTAAAAGCTGGGCCCCCACAGCCCACTCCAGGATCACACTTGTACAGTTGGACTATTGTCTCCTTAGCCCCTTTTAATCTGAAAGACGCTCCCTAGCATTTTTTATCTTCCATGACACTGACACTTTGAAATGATATCCTACCCAATGTCTCATATTCTAGATCTGGTTGTTTTCTGATGCCACAGACTTTCTGACTGACAAATACCATGCACCCATGTATATGCAGGTGCACACCTACACACACATGATCAAAGAACTCAAAACTATTCAACTGTTTTAATTATGTTCTTAAAACCTATGATATGCTGGGAGATTTTATTAGGGTAGGGGACGGTAGGGGCTAGGAAAGTCCTAAACTCTGGACTCTCTAAAAATGTTTCTTTTTAAAAAAAAACTTAAGAAAAAAAAAAAGCCAGACCGCGTGACAGCTGTGGGCCATGATCCTACATGACAGAGAGCAAGCCTAAGGCGTGGCTAGCCCCGAGTCCCCTCTGCCCTTCAAGATCTGCCAGGAGCTACCTTGCTCACTCATGTGACTAGAAAGGACCCTGGGGAGATCCAGGTGTGCGGCCCTTCAAGCAGCCCAGGCCCGCAGGAGACATGGTCTACCTCCGCCGGAGGACTTCACCTTTTTGGGGACCTGGGCAATTCCTGATGTTGCATCAAGTTCTCCTGCAGGTAGTAGCTGAGCTCCCTTTACCCACGAAGGCTGTTCTGCACCCCATCCTGAGTGCGGGTACTAAAGGTATTGGGGTCCTCCAAAATGTCCTGAGGATTCTGGGCACCTGACTAAATGCTTCTAGAATAACTTGAATATTTTAAGTTCCACTGTAAGCGGCATGCTCGGAATGCTGGCAATTCACCTCAGGGGACCTGGCCAATTCTGACTACAAGGTTCATGCACCAAAGAGACAAAAATATAGTCACATATTGAGGACTCAAGGTTGCTAAAATAACCCCCTCACTTGATCTTTATTCTTAGAATATTTCACGCCTTATCAAACTCAAAATCCTAAACACAACACCCAAATTCTATATCCCCAACTTCAATAAGCACAAAGAAAATGAAGCCAAAGCAAATCAGAAGTAAACACCCAAACCGGTCAAATTCCCAAGAGCATCAAAACAGCCGTGTCTCAAGAGACATCTCTCTTGCTCATCTCTGTAGTGTTGTTACGAGTTTATGAGGCTGCTCTGGCCTCTAAAGAGTTCTTTAAACTCAAACGTAAATAACGCCATAAATATTTTCCAGTTTGCACAAGACATGCAAGGGCTTGATTTAGCAAACAAGCATGTTCAAACTGCCCGGTTTCTTCAAAGATACTTTTAATTGGATTCCACCCAACGAAGCAGAATGTGAAGGACTCACTTTTTGGGAAGCCAAGTATTCCATGCCTCTGGCCAGCTGGTAGGTGCACGACACCAAGTCCTTGAAGGTCATCTGTTCCTCAGGAACACGGTTAATATCATAGGAGTATTCCATGCCTGGAGGCCTCCGAGCACGGAGGTATTCCCGGAGGTTGCCTTTGGAGGCGTATTCAACTATGACATAGAGGGGCCCTGCGGACAGAGAGGAGAAGCTCCCTGAAGCAGCCGATCTGGACTGCCCCTGGGCAACTCAGCAAAGGGTTTTTAGTGTCTATATCTCACTGTGGGGGTTTTTGTTGTTTTTGTTGTGCTGAAGATCAAAGCCAAGGCCTTAAGCATACTAGGCAAAGGCTATCCCTCTGAGCTACAGCTATAGTTTTATTTTTTTTCTTGGTTTTATTATGCAGAAACACACACATAAAAATTGAACACCTGCAGTCTAATCTTTCCAAAATGATAATCTACCTCCGGTCGTGATGGCCTTAAAAGGCTTTAAGAAGTAAAGATATAGAGGCAGTACCCTCCACCATCACTCCTGTTCTCTCTCCAGTGCCCTCCTGGAGAGCAACTGCTGTCATATTTGCTCCCTCCAATTCATTTTAAGTGTTCTACCTACATATATGCACCATTCAGAACATATTATTTTAATCAGATAAATGAATAATAAAGATAGAGCTTTGCAGTATTTCCCCTTACATATTATCTCTGTGGAAGCAAGATGGGCGGATTAAAAACAAGTTTATCACACTATTTATCCATTTCTCTTATACTCATGAAAAGTAGGTGGCTTCTAGGTTTCTGCCATAACAGTGGGCAAAGAACACTGCTGTACATGTTTCCTGCTTCGTACGTGCTACATAATCTCATCACGGTATAGCCTGGGTTGATAAACTAGCGCCCACTGCCTATTTGGGTCGTTAAATGTTATTGGCATACAGCCAATCCATTCATGTCTGTCATGTCTAAAGCTACTACTGCCTTGGTAAAAAGGCACCAACCAAAAGTTGCAACAGAAACCTTATATAAGGTTCACAAATGTCTAAAATATCTATAACTGCTCCTCACAGAAAAGGGTTGTCAATTCCTGCACAGACCTGAAGAAGAAATGGCTAAGTCAGACATGGGCATTTTCAAGTTTATTAACTGCCAAATTGACCTCAAAGTGCCAGGAAGTGTTCAATGAAGGCAGCCATTCTGTATCCCTCAGCCACCCCACAGGAAGTGGGCTCCTGCATACCACTTTCTCTCTTTGAAGCTACTCTTTTTTTTTTTTTTTTTTT